CTACAGCTTGCTCTGCCAGGCAATGTCTTCCCCGGTGTCCCTCAAATCTCACTCCGCCAGGCAACGTCCCCACCGGTGTCCCCCAAATCACGTTCTGCCACGCGATGCTCTCCCTGGTGTCCTCCCAAATCACGTTCTTCCAGGTGATGTTTCCCCTTGATGTCCCTCCAAATCTTGCTCTGTCAGGTGACATCCCCACCGGTGTCCCCCAAATCATGTTCTGCCAGGTGATGACCCCCGGTGTTCCCCAAATCTCACTCTGCCGTATGATGCCCTCCCTAGTGTCCCCCCCAAATCTCACTGCGCTCCCTGATGTCCCTCCTAATCATGCTCTGCCAGGCGATGCCCCCTGTGTCCCCGCATCCCCACTCATGGTCTGCCAAACGATGCCCCCCACGGCCTGGTGTCCCCGTGTCCCTGCTCACGCTCTGCCAGGCGATGCCCTCACGCTGGTACTCGGCCTGCTCCTGCCGCAGGATGAGTTCGATGAAGAGCTGCTGCAGCTTCTCGTTGCAGTAGTTGATGCAGAACTGCTCGAAGCTGGGGACAGCGGGGTCAGTCCCCACTGCGCATGACCCTGTCCCCATGCTGTGTCCCCTCTGCATGTCCCTTGCGGTTCTGTTCCCTCTGAGTGTCCCTATCCCCTTCATGTGGCCCTGCTGGCTCCTGTCCTCTCCACATGTCCCTGGTAGGTCCTGTCCCCTCCACATGTCCCTTGTGGCCCTCTCCCCTCCATGTATCTCTCCCGAGTCCTGTCCCCTCCACGTGGACCTTGTGGTCCCATCCCCTCTATGTATCCCTGTCCTCTCTGTGTGTTCCCTGTGTCCCTGTCCCTCCGCATGTTCCCTGTGGTCCTGTCCCCTCTATGTGTCCCTCCTGGATCCTATCCCCTCCACATGTCCCTTGTAGTCCTGTCCCCTCAGTGCCTCCCTTGTGTCCCTGTCCCCTCAACGCATCCCTCATAACACTGCTGCAGCCACACAGGCCCTGGGCAGGTCCCTGCATCTCGGCCCACCACGGGTCACCTGTTGGTGTCGAAGATCTCAAAGCCGTAGATGTCGAGCACACCGATGACGGTGCTCTTGCCGTGCCGGCGGGCATCGTAGTCCTGCGCCTCGATGCCAGCGTTGATGCGCCCCACGATCCAGCCGAAGAGCCGCTCGTAGATGG